CAATTCTTTATCATTTAGTGGGTCTTTTGTCTGTTTCCCTGTGATTTGTATTTTTTGTTAAATAATTAATCTCCTGAACCCTTGCATTAGACAGGTCTGCCTCCTTAAATACAATGTTAATCATATTAGTTTTTAACGCCTTAACCATGCATGCATTGACTTTTACAGACATCTGAGGATTGTGGCAGAAATCATTCTCCAAGACCTCCTGAAGAAATTAGAACACCAGTTTCAATATTACCATCAAATACAAATCGTCAAAGACCCTCAACTGAAGGCACATCAAGTGAATCTACCAGCACTCGACCACCTCGTGAAGGTGCCTCATCCTCTTCAGGCCCCGCTCTCAGTAGCTGATAAGTTAATATCCGTAATCAACACTGTCTGTGTAAATTTTATAGCTACTGCTCAAACAGCAGTGCTAAATATACATTTTATTATTATAGTTATGAAATTGTTGTAATTATTTATATTATTAAGTGATGTATTCAATGTAGTAAGTAGTGTTTAGGCAAGCTTCATTTTCTATTTGATTTCTCTCTGCTATCATTGTTTCCTGCTAAAATCAACAATTCTCCATTTTTTTTCATTTCCCGGTATTTTAGTTAGCTATGTATGTGAACATTTTTTCATAGACCGATTTGCATTATCAATGAGGATCAAAGGCTATGGCTATGACACTTCGGCTGTGAAACTTTTCTGTCATTACCTCAAACTTCTGGTTAACTGAGTCATTTTTTTGTGTGTATGTGTGTTTGTATGTATGTAATGTATGTGCATGGATGAGTATTTATGAACTTCCCTCTGTCTAGTTATTAGCGGATATGTCAATATTTAACTAAGATTAAACAAAACTATTTTCTCAAGACACATTAAGAAATAAACTCTTCACCATGGAACACTACATTTTCATTTTACCTAATTCCTTAAACATTGAAAAAAACATCGTTTTAAAGTGAAGGCCTTTGAAGCGGCCCGTGTGGAACGCTAGGAAGGACTCTTCTGAAACGCAAGCCTGTAAACCAATCGTTACTTTGCTATTCGTAGCGCTGCAATTTTCCGGTTTTTCTGTTACGAATTGTTAAGTTATTCTCGTGATTCTTTTACTTACTTAAATGTAGTCCTTTAGATTTAATCGAGAATGGGAAGAGAGGCGAGGGAGGTGCGGTGCGAGGTGGAAGGGGGATTGTTTTGACTGGAAAAGCTGTGCACTACCAACATTGAGGAGCATCACTTCAAGATAGGAAACGGCTTTATGTAGTAAATATGATTTTTAGGAAGTTTTTGTGAAAGACAGACACCATTTTAAATCCAATTTATAATTATTGCACCAAAATTCTTTGTTGATCGGTCAAAAAACGTAGTCTGAGTAAGAACGTTGAACTAATTTTCTAAGGTTCAAGCCCTGCGCATCGCTATTCTTCAACAGCGCCCGAGTCGAATTCGTCGAATTGAGGACGTGCCGCGTGAGGTTGGAAGGCAGATAACGGCGTTTGACTACTCATTTGTAGTTTCTTATCTATATTTCCCTGGTTTGTATCTTTTACGCATTATATTTATCTCACCTGACGTCATGTCATCGTAGACTGGTAGCTTATTGTAACATTTGAAAGTAACCCCCGTTTTGTACGTTTGTTTATTTCAGTGTTGTTGTCATAGAATATCAACGCCGGTTATTCTACAGGTTACACTTTTGGATTGGAAGTGATTAAACCTCCCTCCGACATGAGTCAAAAGGCAGACCAGTACAAAGCGTTGGGAAATAACTGCATAAAAAATCAAGATTTTACCGGCGCAGTTAAAAACTACTCCCTTGGTAAGTAAGATTTTTCTGGTTTGGCAACTTTTACCTTTTCCTACTATCTCTCGTTGTATCTCCTATTATTTTGTCATTCTTTGCCCTGCACTTGGTGGTCTTCATTTTCATGCTAATTTTTGCTTTTGAAGGTTTAAAATTAGATCCTGAGAACCCCATTCTTTATTGCAATATGGCTCAGGCTCACCTGAACATGAGGGACTTTGTAGAGGCTGAAAAGTGTGCCAAGAAAGCCATTGAACACCGCAGTGATTATGTAAAGGTACTTTTATCGATTGCAGTCATGTTATGTGTGTGTTCTGGCACAGTAACCACATTTTGTTAAGAATTTTCGACAATTAGTACACATCGATTTACTTTTCTTCAGGCCTACTACAGAGCTGCCAAAGGTGCCTTGGGTCGTCATAGTGTGTATGATTCCATGATGTTTCTGGCACAGGGGGTACAAAATTGTATTGCGCAAGATGTGGAGGAGCTGTTTCTAATGGCCAAAGAACTGAGTAAGTACCACCATAAGCAATTTCTTCGACTTCATTGCTGATCCTTTATGTTTCTTTCTATGTATTACATGTTAATGTTTTGTTTTCTAATAGGTCCAGAATTTGAAAACGCCCTAAGAAGCTTTCGTGATAAGGAAAAGTCTCAAGCTAACAAAGTATATCATACAATTAATTATCTATCTACAACTTTAAATTAAATGTTTTCCAAAGTTTTGCATCTTATACTTGATTTTTGTTACAGAAGAAAGGAAGTGCATCTGAACCGAAAGAAGGTGAGGCTAGTAACTCTAAGTCGTCTAAGAAGGGTGGTAAGTCACTGAAATCTAGCATTATGGGTTCTGGTGGTGAAAAAGAGTCCAAAGCTGGCCTTGCAGAGCAGGATAAAATACAAGATGAAGTTAATGATATTCAGAAAAAACTTAAAAATCATCAAGAGAAACACAAAAAACTTGAGGAAGAACTTGAACGTGACACACGTGAAAAGCGGAGAAAGCTTGAAGAAGAAGAAGAGCTCCTTAAAAATAAACTGCGGGAGTTGGAGGAGAAGAAAGAGAGAGACAAAAAAGCTCAAGAGCTGAATGAGAGAGAAAGGGAAAGGTTGGCTGAAGAGCAGAGAGAGCGGGATAGGAAGGATCGGGAAAGAAAAGCGCAAGAATTGAAGGAACTTGAAAAGAAGGAAAGTGAAGAGAAAGCCAGGCAGGCAGCACAAGAAAAGCGTGATCAAGAACTTAAAGAACAAAAGAAGAAAGACCTTGAAAAAAAAGAAAGAGACAAAAAAGAACGAGAGAGAAAAGAAGCTCAGCGGAAACTAGATTTGGAAAAGAAGGCTCAGGAACTGGAAAGGCTTAAAACTGTAAGTACCAGAACTTTAATCTTTTGTGCGCTTACATATATTACTTTCACTGTGATGAATTTTTCTTTTGACATTGTATTAGGAATTACAAAATCAAATGAAAGAAGGCTCCCTTGCCTTATTAAAGGGCCTTCATAGAAAAGCTATTGATAGCTTCAGCAAAGCTTTTGATTCTATTAATTCCAACCCATCACCAAAGGCAAGTTATTTTGTCGTTTTTACTTTGAATTTTCAGTGTTATGTCTGGCTTTGTTGACTCTTATGTTGTCTGATGTATGGCATTCAAACCTAATGATCATTAGTCACAGAGATTTAAAAAAACTGTTTAATATGGATTGCGGACAATTGCACATTCACTTCAACATCAAATGTTTCTATCATTCAAACTTCTTGTTCAAAAATCTATAGATTTTTCTTCATCATGTTTTTTGAATTGTTTTTCTTACATCAGAAGACATTTTGCCTGTGAGAGTTACTGAAAAGTCCTAACCAGAAGCACCTGCTCTACAGCTTTTTAATGATCTTCTTTTAAACTCCTCTAATTTGTACCTCATTTATAACTTTTCAGAATCTTGGTATTCATGATCCTATGGATATTGTTATTTTACATTTTGCATTTGCTCAAGCTCGTATTTATTCTGATGAGTACAGTGATATTATTAAGGCTGTACAGCAGCTAGAAAAAATGGAAAAAGAAGGTTTGCATAGGAAACTACCTGCTATTTTTCTACTGCTTGGAAAGGCATTTATTAGACTAAATAGGTAAGTATTTTGAACATAAGTTAACAATCAAAGTTCTGCTTATACCTGAAATGGTTTATAGTTTGACATAGTAACTATCTGTATTTCTTTTTAAAGATATAGCCATGCATTGTATCCCCTGCAGAGAGGATTATCTTTTATTGAAAGAGGTACTTCTTTTTCCAATTTTGCCTGGCCAGGAACAAATGAAGTCATTGAACTTACAGATAAAAATTGTCTCCAGGTCAGTGAGTTTTTGCTAATAAGTACCATTTCAAAATGACATTCTCTGAGAAGTTTCTATATTTTATGCAGTTGATTGCAGCATTTATCCTATACCTTTTCTGTTTCTTTTTTAAAGTTCATTTTCTGTTCATAGTTCATTGTTTTTTCTTCCAGGATGCTCTTCAGAGCAGTGTTCAAACATGTAAACAGTATCATAAACCTGATGCTATTTGCTTTTATGAAAACTGTTTGAGTTTTAATAATCAACATATTTTGCCATCTCAAAACATATTTTTTAGGTAGAGTGTTTTAATTGTTAGTGCAGTGCTAATGGGGTAAGACTTCTCATTTTAATCCGTTTAATGTATGTGTGCTTTGTTTTAGTGATCCTGATTTTGTTGGATTCATTCATATTATTTGCCAACAACTCTGCCATATATACTTTCATTTGCCATGCTGGAAAGATTTTAAAGAAAAAATGTCTGAAGTGCAAAAATTAAATGAGAAAGTAAGAAACTTTTATCACCAGACATTTGATCCTTCCTCCAGTATCTGAAGTTCATAGATATGTAATATCTGTCTTTCTATCTGTGTTATTTAGGACTTTTTAGGACGAGATTGTTTGACTCCAGACTGCATGATCCAGAATGATAAACCTGCCATTATAGTTAAAGTTATTACTATTGGTCCAGATGGTGAGGAAAAATCATCTTGTGAATGCACACCGCCCCCACTCACACCATCAGTTTTAGCAAAAGAAAGAGAGGATATTGATAAAAGTCCGAAGAAAAAGCAAAGGTTTCTATCTTAATATAATAGCATTATCAGGAGACCATTTAAGTAATCTAATCTAATCTAATCATACTTATTTTAAATACATTTTCCAGGAAGAAGCAGCGTGCTAATTCTACTACGTCTAAGGTTTGTGTGCTACTTTCATTAAAAATTAAAATTAGATGGGTGGAAGAGCGCAATTCTCAGTAACAATATCACGTCTAATCTCATACAAGTAGAACAAGAGAGGGATGGAGGGCTAATCCCTATAGTATTTGCATAGCAGTAATCCAAAAGTGAACCCTGACATTCAGTAGTTTTGACCTGGTGTGTGAAGGTGGTGTATTAATTGACATGTATTTAAGTGTATTTAAAGCGCACCCCATTTTTGGAGCCTTAAAATCGTGAGAAGACATTTGAATATGAATTTGAGCCATGCTGGGGTCCTGAACTCCTAGATCCAAACCAGCAGATAAATGGTCTTAGCGACTAAGTCGCTCAGGTCATTCAGTTTTTCATGTTCAGTCCCGTCTGGTTATGTTTTCCCTTTCCCAGACATGACAGACACAGCGATTTTAGCAACCCTAGTCGATTTTCCACTCTTCTAAATGCTTCCTCTTTTGGTCAAAAATTTAACTTTGGTGCAAATGTAAGCGGCACACAATTATTTTGTTCACCCAACTGTTCAAGCTCCGAAAATCAGAAAAAAGGTGCGCCTTAAACCACATTTATTCCAGTATGTGAAAGAAGCTTTGCACTTACACTTACATTGCACCTGGAAGGCATCATCCTTCTCAAAAAATAAGTGGTGTTAAGAAAATTCCTTCTGGGTGAATGAAATAAGTTTTGCACTTACACTTACATTGCACCTGGAAGGCATCATCCTTCTCAAAAAATAAGTGGTGTTAAGAAAATTCCTTCTGGGTGAATGAAACTGAGTTCTTACATTATTGTTTCATAGCAGACAAGTCAATTTTTTTATGAAGTAAACAACATTGGGTGTTTCAACAACTGAAATTCATAGAAAGTTGTAAAAACCAGGAAGTTATTGGATACCTCTTGAAGTTTTTCTTGCAGTGGCTATTAGACTCGATTAGACTTGTTTAATGGATGTTGGTTTAATAATTATCATTC